AGGCAGTGATGAGGAGGTCATGTGGTTGGGTTTACAACCAATGAGAAGGCAGAACAGAAAGTCAATAAAAAGACACACAGGAAGTAGGTCTCTTGCTGAGGGGAAGGACGGCAGCGGCAGGAAGGGTAAGAAGGTGGTTTTAAGTCTCAGCTCTCAGCTACTGCTCTGACCTCTTGGGCTCTTAACTCTGCATTTGGCTCTGTTTTGCTGTGGGATGGTCTGTATGTCAAATGTGTTGCTCTGATTGGTCAATAAATAAAACACTGATTGGCCAGTAGCCAGGCAGGAAGTATAGGCGGGACTAACAGAGAGGAGAATTGAGGGAACAGGAAGGCGGAGGGAGTCACTGCCAGCCGCTGCCATGACAAGCAGCAAGTGAAGATGCTGGTAAGCCACGAGCCACGTGGCAAGGTATAGATTTATAGAAATGGATTAATTTAAGATGTAAGAACTAGATAGCTAGAAGCCTGAGCCATTAGGCCAAACAGTTTAAATAATATAAGCATCTGTGTGTTTGTTTTATAAGTGGGCTGTCGGACTGCCGGGGCTTGGCAGGACCCTGAGAGAAAACTCTCCAGCTACACTGTGTTTCTTAATTAATAAGACTGTTCATCTACAGACTTGAACTCCTGATTCTCTTCCCTCTGCCTCCTGAACACTGTGATTACAGGCTTAAACCACCACATCCAGCTTTATTTCTTGTCTATGTACATTTATGTTTTGTCCTTCCCATATACCTTCATGAATGTTTATGTTTGGTTTTGCTTTGTTTTGAAACAAGTGAGGGTGTCTCTACAGGTGTTAAGGCAGGTGATGGAGCCATCTGTGAGGAAAATGAAAACTTGGTTCAGATTGACTTCACCAATGTGGATCAAACCTCAGAGAATCTGATGCCGGGCAGTTTAAGGTAGGCATATTTAAACACAACAGAATTTGGATAACGGTTTGCATGCAACAATCATCCCATTCCAGGTATACAATAAAACTTAAGGTGAGACTACACAAAAACTCATTTACAAAGTACATGTGACTATGAAGATGGGTTCTATAGCTAAAAGGCATAGAATCTGGTGTGGTCTCTGGCTGAGACACCAGAGAAGCTAATAGGCTATAAAGTACCTGTGACACCTCCCCTAGGGATGCCTATTAACTGGGAAATAAAGGTCTATCTAGTGAGCGGAGAGTCTGGGATAAACATTTTAGGTGAGGTCTGTCTCTACTGCACAAGGTGGGTGAGGTCTGCCTCTACAGATAGCAAAAAGATCACCAGTTCATTAATAATAGCTACACCTGCCTTCTGGGCAGAAAACAAGTCATTCCTCCTTTGAGGAGAGGCCCCCGCATGTCTAACATCCCTGTTTTCCCTAGTGCTCTGGGCACAAGGACTTTTGTGCCCCCAACTGACAAGGTCTTGGTGTAGCCCAGGCTGCCCTTGAACTCAGCAATCCTGCCTTAGTCTTCCAAGCAGTGAAATTCCAGGCATGAGCGCCCCTGCCCAGCCACCATCAGAATTTTTAAGAAAGGCTACATGACCTTTTTCTGTCTGGGCTGCACCCCAGGGTTTGTGTCTGATCTCTTAGTCATCCTTCCCATGACTCTGGGATCAACAACGGGAGCTTCTGACTACTACCATGTCAGCATTACCAACACTGGCTGCTCTTCCAGAGGACCTGGGTTCAATCACAACACCTACATGGTGGTTCACAGCTGTCTGTAACTCCACGTCACTCTTCTGGTCTCCTTGAGCACCAGTAACACACAAGGTTACAGACATCCATGCAGGCAAAAAAAATTTTAAGTGTGTGCCCTCCCAAGCCCACCAAAAAGTCCTACTATGTATCTGTGGAGTCCAGTAGCCACCATTTGATAAAGATTTACTCTGTCCCAGCTTGGGATTTCATCATATCAAAGCCTTGGGTCTCATTTTTGGAACAGATTACTTTATTCAGTTGGTTAAGAGAGACCAGGGAATCATAGCTGAGCGTATTGCCAGTAACCAAACATAGATGCATTGTTCATACCACACAAGGATCTTTCCAGTCTAAACCATCTATGTTTCCTACGGTGTCTGTGGTGGTTTGAAGGAAAATGGCCACCAAAGGGAGTGGCACTGTTAAGAGGTGTGGCCTTGTTGGAGTGGGTGTGGTCTCGCTGGAGGAAGTGTGTCACTGTGGAGACAGGCTTTAAGGTCTCATATATGCTCAGTGATACAGTTCACTTCCTGCTGCCTTTAAATCAAGTTGTAAGAACTCTCATGTCCTTCTCCAGCACCATATCTGTCTGCATGCTGCTTTGCTTCCTGCCATGACAATAATGAACAGTAAGCCAGCTCCAGTTAAATGTTTTCCCTTATAAGAGTTGCTGTGGTCATGGCGTCTCTTCATAGCACTAGAACCCTAAGACAGGGTCTAAATATATAGATAGGGTTGTATCACCTTGCAGTAATGTAAGGAGAGGTGGGAAGTAGGGCATATAGATGTACTGTGTGGAGGGACAGAGGGGAGGGCTTCAGCTCAGGACAGGAATGCAGCTCTTTCAGCTCTCACAAGAGTAAGCTGATCCAGAGTGCCAAAGCAAGCCCACAGTCCATCTTCCCCAATGATGTTTAATCTCACTAACCAAAGGTTAGCATCTGGAGTTCCAGCTCCTGTTGGCTGCTCCACCAGACTCCACATCTGCTCCTTAAAGTTGCTGCCCAGCTCCAATGAACACCTGTGTCCACTCCAAAGTACCCAGTACCCCCTTCTCTTAATGATGGGCAGTGGACATTCAGGATAGCTAAGTACTTCCACGGTTGTCTGACTTGGGATGCTAGCCCATTTCATTCATATAGGCTGAAATTATTGTGAACGTGTGGAGAGAATGAATTGTAACAGTCCTGTGTTTGGGAGGCCAGGATTCAAGTTCTAGCCTTGGGTAGATCACTCCAGTCACCTCTAGATAGCTCTCGTAGTTCATTCAGGCACCAGGTGGCTCTGAAGACCAGGGGAGCTGTCTGGGGAGCTTTTGACCGATGAACTAACTCTAAGGATGACTCTGAGAGACAGCTAATGTTAGGCTAACAGCAGGACGAGGGCTGGCGGTAGATTTGTACTGCTCTGCAGGAAGCTCCAGGAAGAAGTGTTTTGAGACAGACCTCTGATCTTGAGCAAACGCGCGTCTGCTCCAGAACGGACAGGTTTGGGAGGCCGGCGAGAGACTGATTGAAGAGCGAAATGCATACGGTTCAAAGGCACATGAGGTACTGATGGGCCTAGAGAAAAAAGGCTAGGCTTCTAGCGTGTGGGTGACTCTCAACCTCCGAGGGGATACTTCGCCCAGCTCGCCGGAGTTCCGGCCCGCCCCCAGGGCCTCACGCCCCGCCTCTTGAGCGTCATGACCACGCCCCTCCGCCCGCCCGCCCTGACCACGCCTCCATTCTCGGCCCCGCCCCTCCCGGAGCCCGCCGCTAGGGCTGGACGGCGTCTGCAGCTGAGGCGAAGCAGCCCTGTGCCTGCCGCCGTAGGGCGCCAGCGGTGCCCCTTGAGCCCCACTGGTGGCGAAGGCCGGGTGAGCGGACCGTCCCAGCTACTCTGAAACCGAAAGCGGCTCAGGACGGCAGGCCGAAGGCGACCTGGGACACCCGCGCTCGGTCCCGGCCCCTATGAAAGACTTTGCAAGCAGAATTCGTTAACGTGAGCTTAATGCCAGGGACGCGAACTTGCACCGGTGCTATAGTGCGTGCTTGTTTGGAGACAGCACCCGACTTTCCAGAAGGTGAGTTCTAGATTTCAGCCCAGCCGCGCCTAGAGGTGAGCACCCAGCAAGGTGGGCGGAGACAGTTTTCACACCATTAAGGGCTTGACCTCCCTGCCAGCCCGCTGTGGGGTCTGACAGTTCTGAGGACTCTTGTTGCAGGTCCCTCTGGGCCACCCTGGTTGGCTTCTTTCTTCCTCAGCCTCTCCACTCCGTCCTGCTGACTTTCCATATTTGGCTGTTTCAGATTTCCTTTCTTGAGAACTCGGTATCGCTCCGCGGCAGGCCCGGGGCTGGTCGGAGTTCGGTTGTGGGCTAAGGTCGGTGAAATGGGGAGAGGCTCCCTTCTCCCCAGCCCTACCCAGCCGTGAGAAAAGCATCCAGCCACCAGCTTAGTGTAGTAAATATTGGGCATAGGTGCAGTGTGAAAACTGCATTGGGGCCAAAGAGGATGGTTCCTTTTTCTAGGAATATATGCATTTTTAAAGTGCTGGGGAAGACTTAAAATGCGAAGAAATTGGTTAAAGCATTCTGAGAATAGAACTGTCTGATGTGCTTCGTACGGCCCAAAGCCAGGAGTGTTAACACGACTGAGGTTCTGAGTGAAAACCTGCCACCTTGGACAACTGAACATAAAAGGCAAAAAGGCAGCAGGAAAGATGAATGGAAGGTGATGGTCGGAAAAGCCTAGGTTCTGTTCATGTGGTGAGTTCAGGAAATGGGTCAGCCCCAGGTCCTGGACTGTAGTTTCCCTGGGTCTCTTGAAGGGCCAGCTTGTGGAAAGGGGCTGTGAGAGAGAAGGGTGACTTTCTCAGGGTCCCTGGCTGAGGCCTGTGGTGTGGGGGAAGCGTGGCCAACGTCAGCAGAGAACCGGTTGGATGTGGGTGGATGACATGGGGGCCTAGCCACTGGGAGTAGGAGCTTTCGTGTCCTGGGTGTCTTGGGGGTGACTTACAAGGTGGGGGAGCCGAGGCCTCTGAGTCAGTCCCGTTAGACTAGTGGGAGAAACACGCCTTACTGAGGGGGACCTTGAAGAAAAGGAGAGCTGCCTGGGAGAAAAACTGTCCCTTTCCGAACCGATTTGCTCATCACTCCTGTCCCTCGTCCTCCTTGGTCCCCCACGACACCCTATGAGTCAGGGCAGCTTTCCACATCCCCCAGATGGTGAGGGGAAGCACCGTGTGTCAACAACCCCTGAGCTCTGCCGCTGGGCCAGGCGTGGGACTTGGAGGTTTCTGCTTCAGCTTTCTCAGAGAGCCACATCTGCCTACCTCCTCCTTAGTCTGAGGGGTCAGCAAGAGGACCCAGATTCCCATAAGTACCTGGAGCATCTGTTCCCAGCAATGTGGGCAACAGTCTGCTGGAGACTGCTCCTGCTGTGTGAACAAACCTACTCCATCCACTCAGGCAGCCAAGTGCCTGGGGCAGGACCTGGGTCTGATTTTGTCTAGCCTGGAATCTGGCATTGGTTAGCCTAAAAGACGCTGGCTGAGTTGCACCCAGTTTATTTGGGGTGTGTCTCCCAGCTACCGAGGACAGGTGTTAGTGAGACCTTGATTAGACCCCGGGAATCAGACTAAGATTTCGGGTTATTAATAGTCTTTCACGTCAGACTAGCTTCTCTCTCCCAGAGAGAAGGGAAAGGCAGGTGCTTTTCTTCCCACTCCACCTGATTGCAAGTTGGAACTCAGAAGTGATAAGGAAATCTCACAGGGATAGGAGTGGACCCAACTCAACTCCATTATAGTTCTTGCCATTATATGTCAACTAGAAGAAGCCAAGATTCTCTAGACAGGTGGATGGGAGCACCAGCCAGATGTTAGCCCCACAACTGCAGTTTTAAAGACTTAACAAACAGATGACCGGGACGCAGGGACAGATACAGTCTCTGAGTGCTTTCTCGCCCTGGTTGTAGCTTTTCTGATTCTTCTGGGCAGGAGCTGGTGCCCCTGCGGAGCTGTGGGAGGGGTGGCAGGTGGGTGTCTACAGCACCGTTAGGGAGAGGTGAGTCATTCTATGGGACAGACAAGGAATCCCAAGGGCTGGGGCACCTGCCGCCACCACCACTGCCAGGCCTGGGCCAGCACTTCTCTGGTGCTTTGCTGAGAAAACAGTGCTTGAGGAATTCCTATGCATGGCCTCTGGCAAGCCCTGTCTCAGGAAGAGGTGGGATGGCAGACCTCGAGATAAAAGTGAAAACGTTCGATTGCTCGTTAGTCCTGACAGGGACTCTAGTCCTAGGCACATTTGCATGTTAGTGTCGCAGGCAGCTGGCTGTGATGTGCACCTGTGCCTCTGTGCCCTCTGCGGCACACTCAGATGTGTGCATGTCGGCCCTCTGCATCCATGACAGCCCAGAGGGCAACGCTCATTTCGGCAGCCTGTGCCAAGTCAGTTTCCCTCCTCACCGAATCAAAACACCTCTGGAATCTCCCCGCAGCCTTCTCTTCCCTCAAGGCCAAGCGGTGCTCCTCCATGAAGAACCATGTCTGTCTTCTTCCTGAGGCAGGCTCCCTCCGCTGCTCCCTCCCCTCCGCCCCTGCTCCTGGTCCAAGCCTTCTACACTCTGCTGTTGACCTGAAGGCTGTGTTTCCAGTTTCTCTTCTCCCAAGTTCCCTGGAAGCCCATGGAATGAGACGTCTGCACTTTTGGCTTCGGCCTCCCGGGGTTCCCTGCACCTGCTCTGCAGCCCAGAGGCCTGGTGAAGGCTCCTGAGGTCTGCTAATCCTCTGTCGCCAGCAGGCACCTTGCAGCTGTCGTCAGCCATCTCCCTGGAGCCGGCTGTGTCCCCACTGGGGTTCCCTAATTTGGCCCTTCCTCCTCCCACCCCCCTCCTGCTTTGGAAGTGCCAATGTGGCTGTATCTGGAAGTCAGTTTTCTGTCCCTAGGCTCCTCTCTTGGAGTTCTTTCCCACTCTGAGGCTTAAACCTCCAGGCTTAAGGAAAGACACTTGATTTCTGTAGTATTAGTCACCTTGATTCAATGTGGTGTTTCCAGAGCTCCCTAGACACTCATCTCAAGCTGCTTCTTCCTCCCAGTTCTCCAACTGTTTCAAGGTCCACTGCTGTCTCCCTGTTCTAGTCCGGTCCCTGACCAGGCTCAGAACCGCTTTCCTAGGGTCCCTGACCAGGCTCGGAACCACTTTCCCGGGTGGCCTGAAGTATACATTTACTCTCTTCAGTCCCCAGGTTTGTCTGTATTCTGTTTTCCTTTCCACCGTACTGCAGATTGTCTCTGTAAGCCTTACTGGTTCACACACATTGCTTTCGGTATGTCAGAGTGGAAGAGTGTGGGTCGCAGAATCTGGCAGGCTGGGATTCAAATCTGGATTGCTTTCTTTTATTTTTGAGATAAAATGTCACTATATAGCTCAGGCTTCCCTTGAACTCACTGTGTAGCCCAGACTGGCCTGGAACTTGGTAGCAGCCTTCCTGCCTCAGCCTCCCAAATGCTGGGATTGTAGGTATTTGGTGTCTCGGCATAAGAAGCAGTCAAATCTGGAGTTTTGACCTTCTGGGTATGGTCATGTGATCAAGGCAAGTTGCCCAAGTCTCATAAGGATCTTAGTCCCACTGGCTTGAAGAGGTGGTGATATCTCCCACCTGGGGCTCTGGACGGGAAAAATGAGCCAATATCCATACCAAGCCCAGAGTATGAGAGCTCAGGAAGGCTGTGTGTTAACAGCACTAGAGTTGTGAGATCTCTGGATCTGGGGAAGGCATGCCTGACCTAAAGCAGACAGGCTAGCAGATGAACTTCCATGTGCCAGCATAGACCAGAAATTTATGTCATCCTATGCTGTTTCTTCTTAGTCTAGGCCAGAGACCTCATGGGACAAGACACAGTGGGGATTAGGTGGAATGAGTCCCAGGCAGCTTCAGAGGCAGAGGCTTGGGGGCTAGGATTTAGGTCCTTGGAAAGACCCAAGGCAGACTGCCATTTTAAAGAAGAATAGCATTTGGTAGAAGGTCAACACAGGGACCTAGCAGAGGGAAATAAAGCAGACCAGAGAAGCGAACCAGAGACTCCAGGTCACCAGGAGCAGGCAGTGGTGGGGCTGACTTGTAGTCACCAGCCAGGGCTTCCCCCGGGTGGCTTAGAACTGGAGGAGGAGGGTTGGTGAATGGGACCAGGCTAAGCAGATACTGCAGAGGGTCTTCTGCCTCCTGAGGAAGGCGCTGGGAACACAGCTTGGGTACAGCCTAGGAACATTTGTCCTATCTCCCAGGTCAGCATAAATCAAAGACAAAAGAAACAGAGCCATGCTGGGGAGGTGGAGCTAAGGGCACTTGTAGTTGAAGTTTTCTCCAGTCCTGCCCAGCCCCATGGACCCCGCAGCCACGTATAAAATCATCACTCAGAAGCTTATATTAAGTATAACTGCATGGTCATGGCTCAAGCCTTTTGCTAGCTAGCTCTTATATCTTAAATTAGCCCATAACTATTCATCTATGTGTCACCACATGTTCCGTGGCTTTACCTGCATCCCATTACATGTTGCTCCTTGGGCAGCTCGCTGGCATCTCCCTCGGCCTTCTTCCTGTCTCTCCCTTTGAATTTCCTGTCTGCCTCTAAGCTGCCTTGCCATAGGCCAAACAGCTTTATTTATCAACCAATCAGAGCAACACATATTCGCAGCGTACGGAAAGACATTCCCCCATCAAGCACTGGCTGCTCTTGTAGAGGAGCTGGGTTCAGTTCCCAGCACCCACATGGCAGCTCACAATGGTCTATAACTCTGGTTCCAAAGGATCTGATGCCCTCTTCTGGACTCCGAAGGCACTGTGTGTATGTGGTGCACACACATGCATGCAGGCAAAACACTCACACAGATGAGATTAAGTATTTTGTAAAAGAAGCAGAACGAAATGGCATGGCTACAAAACCAGATAGGGTTTGAGGGACATGGGCAGAATCCATAGGTGACGTGTGTTGCGCTGGCTTCATTGCTAGAGAAGGGGATGAATATCTTCCTAGAAGTAACTCTGGAGAAAGCAGCCCAAGGCGGGCCGTCTGCTCCT